AAAAAAAAAAAAAAAAAATGCAAATCCTTAAAAGTTAGTTTTGATATGTTTGATAAGAAAAAAGTTTTTGATTATTGTTTTTATGTAAATGTTTAACTTCACATGAATAACTAATTTTTTTTCCCATAACTTAACACAAAAGATAGTTATGATTAAAATGATTAAAAAGAGGGAACCAATCGATTGAATTGACATTTAATTTTTTTTACCCCATATTTTATTTACTCCCCCTTAACACCTCAACAGTACAGATAGATGTAACATTATTTTACGTAATAAGGCTTATTTTTGGTCATGGGATTTAAACATTACCTGTAAGGTACTTAGGTACTTTAAATAAATAGTCTTTGTGTCTAAAATTTAAATCAATTTATTCCGAACTATTGGAATAAATTCCTGTTTATTTTTTAGTCCCTATTTACACATTTTTAAAAATAACCTAATCAAGTTTAACTAAAAAAATAGTTTAGGCTTTAGGGTCCTTTTTTTGGGTGGTTCTAGACCCGATTATCACGTAATACCGGCGTGGTGTTACTGCTTAGTGTTACCCTCAATTTTTTGCCACAACATAGTCAACATACCGTATACAGTATCACGTATACCAGTTTTTCTAAATAATTTTTAAATTGCGCCTTGTTGCGACATCTTTTGATCTTACCATTTTTGTATAAATCTTTTTATTTGTGAGGCAATTTTTTATTATATGTTGATCGTTTTAATTTATTTTAGTTAGTTTACATATGAAAAAAAAAAAATGATGTGTATGTAAAAAAGTTCCGATTTTTTATTTTCCATATAGTTTCTCTTTTAAAAAAATTTCTTTGAGAAAAAAGTCATCTGATTCAGCCAAAATCGCAAAGAATGATTTCAGCCAAAAGTGGGCGAACGGAAAATGATCGTGTTTTTTTTATATATATATAAGAATTTTTTTTTTTTTCGATTTAGGCAATAAAAAATGAATATTAAATACTATATTAATGTAGTACCTTTTTATCTGTAAACATAATTTTGTACAATCAACACAATCAACACAATCAACATATCATCATCAAAAGTATCGTCCTTTCAATGTTGCTCCCAATGTACAAATTTTCGAGATATCATCTAACTTTATTATTTCAACCATTCTATATTAGATTAAGTTAAAATGATTTTCAAATGTACTATAATAGTACGAGAAAAAAATAAATTTAAATCAAAAGTAGATCAATCGAACCCATCGAAACTCATCGAAATTCTTCGAAATTTTTATTTCCATATTTTATTAAAGATTTTTTTTTAAAAAAGTTTCTCTAAGGAAAGGTAATTTTAAGGAATGAAAAAGATATATTCACTAAAAAGTATTCATGCAAAAAAAAATAAAAAAATATTTTAAAATATAGTATCAATAACAATTTATCCAAAGGCGCAAAAAATATCCTGATATCTACGGATTTCGGAGATAATTCAAATCCATCAAGAAAAAAAAAAATCATGCATGATGTTTTCTTATTAGGCGTAAATTAAAGATATCTATGAATTTTCGGAAATAAATCAATCCGCGAAAGTAGAAATAATGAATTATTATATACTGTAATATAAATTATCCACGGATTTTCCGGAAATAAACTCATCCCGTGAAAGCAAACATCTAAGACGTAAGTTTGCATCTTTGATATTTATGGGATTTTCAAAATCAAAAGAAATAAAAGCGATATGATGTAATAAAATAGCTTCTTCTTCGGCTAATACATTATTGAAAGAAAGGCTAAATAAAATAAACAAGTGAGTTGATCCTTTTCTTCTTTAAATTTACGTCATTAACAATCAGCCTTTGATGATTGATTACGTTTTATTCATGATTTTCCATCAAAAGACATGGATAAAGGATTACATGGATTTAACATGTGCGAAAATATTGATTCTAGTATACCTAATGATACAAGGCGTCTTACGTCACATTACATAATTTTCGTACTATTTTATTATTGAAATAGATTGAATTGTTGGAAAACAGAATTAATCTAATTTAAAACGGATCAATATAATGATGTAATTATTGATACCTTTTATTTTTCCTTCTCTCTCTTTTTTTTTTTTAACGTCTGTTGAGTATGCTAAACTAAGAATAACATAATTTTAATCTAGGTTACTATGGTGAACGTAATTGATACTAGCCATTTTCGTATTTGTCGTTCTTTTACTCAATGAATCACATACTTTAAGGATAAATTTCGCCATTTTATTTATTTTATTTGTTTTTTTAGGAAGTTTTAACAAACGTCAAATTATGATATCATTAATTGTGCTACTCGTCCTACATAACGTAAATTTTTAAGTTTAATAAACCCCGTAAACTTAGAATTGGTCTAACACAAGTTTGTGTGATTTACTGTATATCACTTGGGTAACTGGCGGCTGAACGGCAGATTGGCAGGTGATTATTTATATAAACCCATCGTAATAATTTGTCGTAATAATTTGTCTTAAATAATAATTTGTCTTAATTTATTATTTTAATTTAAAAGAACCCTTTTAGAATTAAAGAAGGTGAAAAATAGTTTAAGGGAAAACAAAGAGAATGCATAAATACAATAATTTATAAATAATTAATAATTTGTGCATAATTATTTTTATTTACGTTGGTTAATCACTAATCAAGGATCGCTGAAATTTTTTTAATTTATTTCGTTACATGTGATGCATTCCCGGATTATCTTTTTTTAAATTTTGTTTAATAAACCAAATTGGGTGGTAATGTTACTCGGTAACGGATTTTATTGATTTTATTGGTTAATATGATTATCAAAATTTTTTGACTTACCGATATCGTCATTCCCGAAAATAGGTCACATTATGATCAGTCAAATTATCATGTTTCAACATCAAGTAAATCAAAGGCTTTTTGGGAAGAATATTATTTTATTAAAACAATAATTATATCCTCATTATAGTTTAGTTTAGTTTTTTTATTTACGTAATATATTACATTATACAAGTACATCCTGTAATTCAATAATTTAAAGTTTGATGTCGATAGATAATACTTTTGAAGGGTATGATTGTCGGACTGTATGATCCTTTTATAATGCAAGAAATTTTCTTTGCATAATTTTTTTGAATGTCCGTCTATTTCAGGAAATTAAGGAAATTTGTATGAAAAATATGAAAAATATTATGAAAATTTAAAAAAAAGTTTATACAGTTAATACAGATAATAATAATAATAATAAACCCTTTAAAAAGAACTCATAAAGAACTCATAAAGAACTCTTATTAGTTCGAACTTCAAAGTGTACTACAATGCTACAATGTAATTCTAACGCAAGGTGATACGAATGTCAGGGATGTATCGTCCTGGCACGTGACATTCGTGATAAATGTAACAATAATAAAACCTTAACCTGCATTTCGGGTTCAATAACGGTTTTCGTTTCCTAGTTAATAAAAAATTTCCGTCTTTGATATATGTAGATCTTCATATTTAGTGGTTGGAATTTATTAAATTCATTTCAATATGATGATTAAACAAGGATTAACTTCACCATGTTTGGAGTTAATATTAATGAAATTATTATTTGAATAATTATAATTATAAATATCTTATTAATTATCAAAATTACGTGATACGATGATGTAATCTTATAAAATGTATCAATTTTTTTTAAAAAAAAAGCTTAAATACAACGTATGATACTAACAAAAAGAATATCACTGAACTACTGCATTATCCAATAAAACTGTATTTAAAAATTATGTTATGCAGACGTCCAAAGTATTATTACATCGGTATTATATGATAAACGATATAATGTGTCAAAAAAAAAAATATCATTATCATCTGCATAATAATTACACAATGATTAAATGTTATAAAAATTATCAAACAAATAATGTTATACAAAAAATTTCCCTTGCATTAATTATCGTAAAGTATGTTTTAGTGAAAAATTTATTATTCAATTTTAAAAATTTAAAATTTTTTTTTTTTTTAAAAAAAAAACGATATTTCGATTATATAATTATTAATGTATTATATAACACAAATATTTTAAAAATATTTTAAAAATATTTATTCTTATCATACATTATTAAAAGAAAAATATATAAATTTCAAATAAAATATTCTATTATAAAAAAAATATTTTAATTATTGTACTTTTTTGCGAAGTACTGTAAAAGAATATTAATAATATTATTAATAATTTATTTATAAAATATTATTTAATATTTTTATAATCAAATAAAGTATATTATATATATTAAAATTTTATAGGTAAAATATTGTATATTAAATAAATAGTTTATTGAACTAATTTTTATAATTATAATCTTAGACAATCAGTATAATAATACAGTTACAGTATTAAATAGTACTAAATATTAGATATTAAAATTAAAATATCATTTAAATTTTTATTTAACTAATGTATAATAATATAAAAATATCTAGGTTTAGTTATTTATTAATTTCAAATTTCTGTGTAAATATTAATATTTTTATTCTTGTCTAATTTTAATCTAATTCTAATCTATATTTTCTTTATTTTTTTCTTTAAATAAAGAAAATATGTATATTAATTGCCTGTCACATAAGTGTTACTCATAATCACCTTTATACCAATTACCAATTACCTTTATACTAATTTTTAAAAATTGTGAGTAATTAGCCAAGTTTATAG